TGCCTAGTTCTTGTCTTCGGGACAAGATGCCAAGTTCTTGTCTTCGGGACAAGGAGCCTAGTTCTTGTCTTCGGGACAAGATGCCAAGTTCTTGTCATCCGGACAAGATGCCTAGTTCTTGTCTTCGGGACAAGATGCCTTGTTCTTGTCTTCGGGACAAGATGCCTAGTTCTTGTCTTCGGGACAAGATGCCTTGTTCTTGTCTTCGGGACAAGATGCCTTGTTCTAGTCTTCGGGACAAGATGCCTTGTTCTTGTCTTCGGGACAAGTTGCCTAGTTCTTGTCTTCGGGACAAGATGCCAAGTTCTTGTCATCCGGACAAGATGCCTAGTTCTTGTCTTCGGGACAAGATGCCAAGTTCTTGTCTTCGGGACAAGGAGCCTAGTTCTTGTCTTCGGGACAAGATGCCAAGTTCTTGTCATCCGGACAAGATGCCTAGTTCTTGTCTTCGGGACAAGTTGCCTAGTTCTTGTCTTCGGGACAAGTTGCCAAGTTCTTGTCTTCGGGACAAGTTGCCAAGTTCTTGTCTTCGGGACAAGATGCCAAGTTCTTGTCTTCGGGACAAGTTGCCAAGTTCTTGTCTTGACAAGTTGCCAAGTTCTTGTCTTCGGGACAAGATGCCTTGTTCTTGTCTTCGGGACAAGATGCCTTGTTCTTGTCTTCGGGACAAGATGCCTCGTTCTTGTCTTCAGGACAAGTTGCCTAGTTCTTGTCTTCGGGACAAGTTGCCTAGTTCTTGTCTTCGGGACAAGTTGCCTAGTTCTTGTCTTCGGGACAAGTTGCCAAGTTCTTGTCTTCGGGACAAGTTGCCTAGTTCTTGTCTTCGGGACAAGTTGCCAAGTTCTTGTCTTCGGGACAAGATGCCTAATTCTTGTCTTCGGGACAAGATGCCTTGTTCTTGTCTTCGGGACAAGTTGCCTAGTTCTTGTCTTCGGGACAAGTTGCCAAGTTCTTGTCTTCGGGACAAGTTGCCTAGTTCTTGTCTTCGGGACAAGTTGCCTAATTCTTGTCTTCGGGACAAGATGCCTTGTTCTTGTCTTCAGGACAAGTTGCCTAGTTCTTGTCTTCGGGACAAGATGCCTTGTTCTTGTCTTCGGGACAAGATGCCTTGTTCTTGTCTTCGGGACAAGATGCCTTGTTCTTGTCTTCGGGACAAGATGCCTTGTTCTTGTCTTCAGGACAAGTTGCCTAGTTCTTGTCTTCGGGACAAGTTGCCTAGTTCTTGTCTTCGGGACAAGATGCCTTGTTCTTGTCTTCGGGACAAGTTGCCTAATTCTTGTCTTCGGGACAAGATGCCTTGTTCTTGTCTTCAGGACAAGTTGCCTAGTTCTTGTCTTCGGGACAAGATGCCTTGTTCTTGTCTTCGGGACAAGATGCCTTGTTCTTGTCTTCGGGACAAGATGCCTTGTTCTTGTCTTCGGGACAAGATGCCTTGTTCTTGTCTTCAGGACAAGTTGCCTAGTTCTTGTCTTCGGGACAAGTTGCCTAGTTCTTGTCTTCGGGACAAGATGCCTTGTTCTTGTCTTCGGGACAAGATGCCTTGTTCTTGTCTTCGGGACAAGATGCCTTGTTCTTGTCTTCGGGACAAGATGCCTTGTTCTTGTCTTCGGGACAAGATGCCTTGTTCTAGTCTTCGGGACAAGATGCCTTGTTCTTGTCTTCGGGACAAGTTGCCTAGTTCTTGTCTTCGGGACAAGATGCCAAGTTCTTGTCATCCGGACAAGATGCCTAGTTCTTGTCTTCGGGACAAGATGCCAAGTTCTTGTCTTCGGGACAAGGAGCCTAGTTCTTGTCTTCGGGACAAGATGCCAAGTTCTTGTCATCCGGACAAGATGCCTAGTTCTTGTCTTCGGGACAAGTTGCCTAGTTCTTGTCTTCGGGACAAGTTGCCAAGTTCTTGTCTTCGGGACAAGTTGCCAAGTTCTTGTCTTCGGGACAAGTTGCCTAGTTCTTGTCTTCGGGACAAGTTGCCTAATTCTTGTCTTCGGGACAAGATGCCTTGTTCTTGTCTTCGGGACAAGTTGCCTAGTTCTTGTCTTCGGGACAAGATGCCAAGTTCTTGTCATCCGGACAAGATGCCTAGTTCTTGTCTTCGGGACAAGTTGCCTAGTTCTTGTCTTCGGGACAAGTTGCCTAGTTCTTGTCTTCGGGACAAGTTGCCAAGTTCTTGTCTTCGGGACAAGTTGCCTAGTTCTTGTCTTCGGGACAAGTTGCCTAATTCTTGTCTTCGGGACAAGATGCCTTGTTCTTGTCTTCGGGACAAGTTGCCTAATTCTTGTCTTCGGGACAAGATGCCTTGTTCTTGTCTTCGGGACAAGTTGCCTAGTTCTTGTCTTCGGGACAAGTTGCCTAATTCTTGTCTTCGGGACAAGTTGCCTAGTTCTTGTCTTCGGGACAAGTTGCCTAGTTCTTGTCTTCGGGACAAGTTGCCAAGTTCTTGTCTTCGGGACAAGTTGCCTAGTTCTTGTCTTCGGGACAAGTTGCCTAATTCTTGTCTTCGGGACAAGATGCCTTGTTCTAGTCTTCGGGACAAGATGCCTTGTTCTTGTCTTCGGGACAAGTTGCCTAGTTCTTGTCTTCGGGACAAGATGCCAAGTTCTTGTCATCCGGACAAGATGCCTAGTTCTTGTCTTCGGGACAAGATGCCAAGTTCTTGTCTTCGGGACAAGGAGCCTAGTTCAAGTCTCCAAGACAAGTTTTCAAGTTCAAGTTCAAAACACAAGTGACCGACTTCAATCTTCTAGACAAGTTCAGTACCAACTTCAAGTCAAATGTGTCTGCAAGAGGTTACTCTTGCTTGGCTTGTCTTAACAAGTCACGCCTCTTCACTTATGTTCAAATACTCAACTCTATTCAACTTTAAGTCGCGCTAAGTTTAGTACTGTCACTATTTTTGTTTTTGTGGAATGAAGTGGAATTTGTGAAATGAAGCTTTATGTCCAACATAAAATAGCCTTTCAGTTTCGAGCGTTACAGTATGTTGTAAGAATATAATCACAATTTAGACAAGACAGGCCTTTTAGATTATGTTGTAAGAATAAAGGTCTTCCCACAATTAAAAAAGCACGGCTCCGGCTCGGAGTCGGCGCGATGACCCCACGCTTCCAACTAGCGGACGGCTCGTGGCTAGCGCGGCATCGGCGCGGTGACCACGCTCTTCCAACTCGCTGTAGCAAGCGGTCGGCGCACCGGCCACGAGGTGAAAGCTTTTAATGCTACATTTACAATGTCGCGCGAGTCGAGACGAGGCTGAAATACATTGTCGTTATTCTAAAAGAGTTGTAGTCTTTCTCACATTATAAGACTGCAATGTATCTAAACCTCGTGACGTCTTGCGCGAGACGCTTGATACTTAAATGTCAACTTAATGGCTGGGTTAGAGCCGTGCTTTTTAAATGTGGGATGTCTTTAAATCACCTTTAAGACAATCAAGGCCTCTTAGACTTAGACTATGTTGTAAGAATAAGGCACGGGTAACACTAGCCAGGCCTCTTAGACTATGTTGTAAGAATAAGTCACACGTTAGACAAGCTAGGCCTCTTAGACTATATTGTAAAAATGAGTAACATGTAAGACAAGCCAGGCCACTTAGACTATAATGTAAGAATAAGCCACATTTAAGACAAGCCGGGCCTCTTAGACTATATTATATGAATAAGTCACATTTAAGACTAATGCGGACCCTTAACCTGTATCATAGCAATAAAGCCCCATATCAACAAGGCAATAATTTGAGTGTGGGTCATATTGCACAATTTTTCGGCTCCATGTTGCCAGAGCAACTCTTGTCATTTGAAAAGTATTGTCTTGTAGGTATTTGAACATGCTAAGCAATATATTGCGTTAAGCCATGTTACACATTAAATTATGCCTAGTGAACTCTGGACTTAAGTCATGTTTAAGTCAAGCCAAGCTCCATAAATTCTTACATAAGAACTATCATTCGCTTTGCCCAGGGCTTAAATGTCAAAGATTAAAGAAAGACAACTCTATTTTGATGCTAAAATCAATCATATCATAATAGCACAGTTAGTTCTATAAATATTTAAAGTTCAGAGGGTAGCGGATATCCAGTGCTTCAAAATTAGGTCAGGTCGCTCTTTCAGATTCGTTTGTAATAATAAATCCAACATTGGAGTCCAATAAATTTCTTTGTTTGCTGAACAATAGGCTCGGTGTTGTCTATGATAGTCGCTAGCTGAGCTCTAAGCATCCATTTAATGAAAAAGCTATTATTATTATAGTAAAATGCTGGTGCAGTACTACATTCCTTTATCTATTGTCCAGAGCTGTATTGCTTTATCCGATGCTTTGCAAACTAAACAATAAGGTTGGATAACATAATTCTAGGAAGTCTAGGTCTCCCTTATCTTTAATTTAACTTAGATCTAAGTCATGTATATTGAGGGCCTCGTGTAGGAGTGGTTAAAAGGTATATTTTCAAATTGGATTCTAAGAAGATTTCTTTTTCAATTAGTAATCCTTTAAAATCAATATTTCATAATATGACACACAAGAGCAATGCAAAATTACAACAGAAAAACACAAATAAAATAGCTTTGCTGCATAGAATAAATTGGAAACAAAACCAAACAATTAAGTAAATAAAGAATAATCAAACATAAGCTGTCCATTTTCATGCCACCTTCACTTGATGGAAATATATTTCCACCTGAATTAAACTCAGCTCACTTTTATTAAATTAAAGGATAACATAATAGGTAGCAGCTCAACAAGTACAGTTCCAGGTAGATCAAATAGGTCAAGGACAGGTCCCGCGCAGTATAAGCTCGCTACAATGATGCATCGCGCTCCCGACCTTCAAATCTCTCACTCCCTCCCACCCACACAACAAACTACGCAATACATCACCTGCGCATCACACATCAATAAATCTAGAAAAATCCTGATTCCCCGAATTGGCGGTAGCAGCTAAATCTATTAAAAGAACGAAATGCATAGGGTCCAAACATTACAAAACAAACAAAATATTGACTAACCTTGAGGCTTTTGGTCGCTTTGGGTGAATAAGGAAAATACGGTGGTGAAGCACTCGAGCACGCCTCCCATCCACAATGTTTTCTTCTTGTCTTCTTCTTCATCTAAGGCTGGGAAAAAGCCCTGAAGTCTACCCTCCAATATCATCGCGGGATCAGGATCATGATCCAGAGGACCCCCGTCCATTTTGCCAACCGTTGGAACCAGATTTACCTGCGCACACAATACTGTATTTATATCTCACTTGTGTACACTTACACTAAAAAAGTCCCTTTTTATGATTCAAATAATCAAAACAAGAGCCAAACTCACCTTCGACTTCAACGCGTGCACCATAGACTGACTGATGCCCATAGACTGATACTTACTGATTATTTTCTCTCCTGCAGCATCACAGATAATCTATAGTTACAGAGAACGTCGAGAAACGCGATCACCTTGCACATTCGTCTATTGTGTAAAATAGTTCAGATAAAATCGTAATTTATTTGTATATGGGTATTAAATACATTGGTCACACAGATAGTAGACAATTTTAAAAGATTAAACCAACTTTTTTATTAGAATTTGTGAAAGCGCAGGTATATAATTTAAATTTATGATAAGTTTTAAAACTGGTGACGCAATGTCAAGGAAACTTTAATCTGCGAAATGTCGAAATGTCGTTGTCATTGTCAACAAAGGTAACGAAACGACTGGGGGCAAAAGTCAAACAGTTTGCTGTAGTGTGGTGTTTTAAAGTGGAGGTTTTTAATTAACAATTCTTTAATTCAGTTCTATTACTCAAAAACCAGAATAATTGATGGTATTAAGTAAATAATACATACATTACTGTTCATTTTGCGATACGAAGTAAACTTCCTGCTATCAAAATGAGTAAATCATTATCTTTACAAGAATTCTATGCGATTTACAAGCGGTGGGTGATTAATAATCCGGGACTAGTGACGGACGTGGAAACAGTTGCCACATGGTCCTCTTACTTCGTGGCGGGGAAGATAAACAAATCGCCCATAGTATCGGAATTGGTATACTCACTCTCTAAACTCGTGTCTCTGTTCAACGACAGGCTCATTAGGGAGGCGTATGGTACTGGAGAACCTTATTATGGACTTCGAGAACAGATCAAGCTGTGGCTGACAGTCATTCATTACTGTGAGGTTTTTATTGAACTTCTAGTGAAAAACAGATGGGGCACAAAAGGGAAATGGACTGTAGCAACTTTGCTGCAAGTTTTTAAATGCTCTTCAGCTCTAGTACTGCTCTTCAGGTTCAAGGAACTGCCAATAGCTCACCCCCCAATAGCTGTTCTACAGAGGAAAAAGTTTACAGAAGGCAGAGAGACTGATGAGAATTCTAATTCATTTTTCACTCTTCGGAGATCAGGGCGCCTTGTGCGACGCGTCGATGGGGCACCAGCAGTAGCCTTCCGTGACTGGGAACCTGTAAAAATACAGGATGACAGACCAGGTGCAGCTGCTAACGTAAAGGACTTGATTTATGCTGAGTCATTACATATAATGAAGCCACTAATTCACTTGGCATCCATGAGAGCTTTTGGAACTAAAGCATGGAAGCAGTGGCTCGTAGCCCTCTGTTTGGATATGGCAAGTATGAAACTATATAGCAAATACATGAAAGACTTGTCATATGATCAGCGGCTAGAAATAAGTCGCAGAAAGTTGAGTTTAGTCTTGTATCTCTTGAGGAGTCCAATGTACAATGGATACTCAAAGAATGTAATAGAAAATGGTTTGAATTCTATGTCAGCGAAGATACCAGCCATGTCCTTCATTTGTGGTCCGATCATTCAATACCTTAGTCACTGGCAGGACATTTACTTCTACATGTGGGCTTCATAAGTGTAGTCAAGGTTAAATGTATTACGGACAATACAAATTGGTGAAGAATACATTTCTATATTGTTAATATTATGTATGCAAGTTGACAGTTGAATGCAATATTGTAGTTTATTGACCCTGAATATTGTCAACAATTTGACTTTGAAGCTATTGTTTAACCAATGTATGCAATGGACTAGTTTTCAGTCATGTGTACACTACTTCTGCAATTTATTAACCTCAGAAAAGCCATGCAGCTGACATTTGTCTAGATAAAATGTAAATTTTGAATATTCAAATACAATTTATAATATTTTTAAAAAACAATGTTATTATATGTGTTAAGAAGAGTTCCGGTTATTAAGAGTTATCAACAGATTTCTATTGTAACATAAACATTTTTGCCCTTCTTTGGATTGTACACTACAATAGTTTATACAGTCAGAACCGACTATTGGTTATAACGATTATAATTAATTGTTCCCTTCGATGTCGTTATAAACGGTTTTGACTGTATTTACATAATTGTGAGAGTCACAGTTGTATATTCCATAATTATGTACATTGCAAGTTTCCAACTTTAAGATTATTTTCTCATTCATGTTCATTGATATATATCTAATATCAACAATCATGCTCAGTAATTTACATTGTAATTACACTTAGTAGATATATCTCCTTCAAACAAATGATTGTGTTTCAAAGATTGTGTGTTCTGCCCTCTAGTGAAAGTATTCATGATTGTCAAAATCAGCCAGCACAACAACCTGCCACCTATCATATAGTTGTTCTAGTATTTTAACTTATAATACTACCTACTCCTGGTGAGGTTTGTACATACTCTATGGGGCTCCTGTTGATCGTAGCATGTTGTTTTGTAGCCTTCCTCGATATCTAACACAAAGAACAAAATATACAATTTGAAGCAATAAACTAATAGATAAAAGGATAAGATTATTTACAAATAGAAATATGTAAAAAATTTTTACAATACATAAGAAAACACAATAGTGTGGTGTTTATACATGACTTGTCTTTAACACAATCAGTGCGACCACTCCATAGAGTGTATGTCTATGAAGATATTTTCTGATACCTTAACTACTCAAAATTCTACCTCGTATATAAAAAGTATCAACTCGTATATAAGAAGTCAACATTTATATAACATTCTGTTTTTATAATTATGTACCCTTCACTTGTGTCATCTTAACAGCTGATTCTTTCATATTCCTTATATCTTAACTTACACATTTGTCTTTCATACTTATATGTTTTGTTGTACTTGTGACGTCATGGTTGACTTCTCTTAAGTTTTGTTCAAACATTAGCCGCCAATGTTACCTACTTAGTTGTTGACATATTGTGTTTGCGCTGTTATGCCACATCCTTGTTTATGTAATGATTGTTAATTAGCATTTTTGCATTAGAATTCTGTTTTATTGTAATAGAAATGTTAAACCTGAAGAGTTTATATATTGTCCTGTTTATGAAAAGTGCTAATAAAATATGTCCAATAACTATGCAGACATCATCATCCCAGCAACAAATAAGATACCCTCTGTTGAATGTAGGTCTCATTCGGATTAGCTAATTTGAAGCATCCTAGATGTGGCTGCAGAGTTGCAGTAATGCTAAACTAAATATTATTTATGTCTTAACTACTTAGAACTGCATAATAATATGCTGGACATAGGCCTTGGTGAGGCTCTCTAGCTAAAACATATTATTAAATTCTAAATTTGTAATCCAAAAAATGTTGCGTGCCAATGTTTTTCAGGTCAATTTCATTGAATGAGTCTAAATAACAGTTGTATTCAATAGTTAAATTAAAATATTAATATTCTTCATAAATACCTATACAATTTAGTCTTGAGTTCTATATTTATAGATTTATATTTGGGTGCTTGTGGTTATGCAAGGCTGAGGTAGATTTTAGTAACAAGTTAGTGAATAGAGTAGATATTTTTTTCAGTTTTCGTAATTGTCGAAAATACGTTAATGTAATGTTATATTCCGTGTATTTATAGATAAAGTTTATTAACTAGATTATAAAAATAGTAATTTATACCATGGTCCAACCAGATATTGTGTAAAGTCAATTCAATTCAATCTACTTTCATGTATAAATATGATTTTACCTAACAATAACAGGTATGTGTCAAAATGTATATATCTCTAACTTTGAAACTCTTATTAATCAAAAATAACATTGCCTAGCTACAGAAAAAGATACGTATTTTAATATATAAACAAAGCCTACTCTGTACTATAATGAGCTATATTGTTTCATATTACATATCTATATATATAAAAGAAAGTCGTGTTAGTTACACCACTTATAACTCAAGAACGGCAGAATAGATTTGGCTGAAAATTGGTAGGGAGGCAGCTTAGAGCCAGGAGACCGACATAGGATACTTTTTGACCAAATTTTTTTTTACATTTTACCGAAAATCACGAACGGGACGGGAAAAAATGGGATTACGCGTACGAAGTCGCGGGCAGAAGCTAGTTAATAATAAAGATAAGTAATCAGAATATAATCTTAACATTCCAATAATATATTATATAGATACCTAATTGTATCCATTATAAATATTTCTACAGCAATAAATTATTGTGATTATTTGACATACATATATATATATATATATAATTTGGTAACATTTTGGTAACAACTGTTATCATTATAATGTTAAGAGTATTATGTAAACATGTTGTATTTAAATCCCTCTTATATACATTTATAAATAGTTTAATAATGATGTTTAACAATTATTAATGATATTTCTTAATTAATAGCCAGCCAATAACTTATCTGTCGGTTGATATTGCGACTGGAGATAGAATTTTGTACTTTTTTGGTATTTTATAGCACTTTGATAGGATTTTGTCCTGTGTCGTTGGTGTGTTTATAAACTGTTCAGATACACATGACACCTAGAACCGAAACAACATTTAGTGGATCACATAAAGTGCAGCCGGTTGCCCAGCCATCGCGCCAACGGTGCAGTCAACATTATGCTCCATACAAAATACAGTGAAATAAAAACAGACTTACTATATTTTTTAAAACAGTTAAAATTCTTATCTCACTAATGATATAACAGATAGGTTATTGAGGTAGCCCATAAGCAAATTAAATTAGGCAATAAATGGTTGACAAGACGGTGATGGATATTGGAATTAAATTATGATTTAGTTACTAATATGATAGAATTATGTCAAGTTCCTGTGGACTAATAGAAGTTAGCCTTTTCTAGGAATTGATTATGTATAAATTTATTCACAAAAGTTAGGGTTACTGACCTTTATGCTAACATAAAGGTCATTGACTCTGATTCTTTAAATTCAGGCCTACATTGTTTCCAGTTTTGTTGTATAGAATAGAATGTGAACTGGGAAAATATTTATATCGCTATATAAAACACGAACACAACAAACCATTCGAACCGCACTCGACATGTTTCGCTCCTCAACGGAGCATCCTCAGGAGTTGTTGACTCTGTATAAATAATACGGCGAAATAAAAACTAAATATTTTCTCAATATTGTTAGTGGAGCTTTATTGTGGTTTACTTGGGGTAAATGCTAATCTATTTTTGTAGAGATCTCTACACATCTGTTAAAAGTAAAAGTGACTTTACTTATTTAAAGTCTTGTAAATTTAAATAAATGGTTATTGTTTGTCTTATTAACTATTCAGGAATGTTAAACAATATGTTAATTATTATTACTGTAAGCTATTTTATTCGGGTCTTTTTTAACGTTTTTATGGGTAGTTTTGTATTAAATAATCGGCGTTGTATGCATATTTTGTTATTAGCAATGCACATGTAGATATCTTTGTAGCTATGTGTTGATTTGTAGCTATGTATTTATACTATGCATGATAAAACTCATAATTATTTAATACTGCTGTTTAAACTATTTAAAATCTGTTACTCTCCGTAATAAGTTCATTTCTAAAAGTAGGTAAATGAATGCAGGATTTGAAAGTAATTCAATATAAGATTTTATTAATTGTAATAAAAATGTTTAAAATGTATAAAATTCTACATCAAATCCATAATCAAGTAAATAATAAAGATATTCTTCTATTATTCTATAATTTGTTTTATTTCTATGGATACTTTACTAATTGTTTTATTTTCATTCACCCTTTCGTTTACCCTCAAGAAAACAAATCAGACGCAAGCAGCCATAATCATTTTCTACATAAGTAAATTAAATCAATTTATTTGCTACTTGTGTATAAAATTTTGTCACGAGCTTTTGGTTACAATATCTAGACCATTATGAGTCGTTTATTGTATAGTGAACATTTTAATAACAGTTGTTATAAATATACAGACGGTGATTATTATAAGTAGTGTATATAAACATAACATAACATCACGCTTATTATCACCGAAGGGGTAGGCCCACTTTTATGTACTACCACAAATAACACCCACTTTTCAGTATTTATGTTATGAGTCCCACGTAATAGGGGGTGAGCCTATTGCCATATACCGGGCACAATTCCAGACTCCGCGCAACTACTGAGATTTTTTTAAAACGCAGTAATTGCCTGACCCGGGAATCGAACCCGAGACCCCTTGCCCTCGCAGTCGCATTTGTGACCACTCGGCCATCGAGGCAGTCTAGTATATATAATAGTGTGAATATCTGTAGTGATTACTTGTTATATATTTATTAGAAACTGTTACATATTCACTTCTTCACTGCCAATTGTCAAATCATCATCAGGCCGCAAGACGTCTTCGGACAAAGGCCTCCCTTATATAACGCTTATAGTCCGCCACGTTAAACTATAGTTTAGTTTGACATGGAATTAAGTTATAATAATATAGAAGCAAAGATGTTTCTGCATATAATAAAAAAAGATTATTTAGTCTACACTGAATTACGATGTCGTATGTCGTGGTGGCCCGGAAGTGTAAGACGCCCGCTTCTCATAAATGAGGCAGCCGGTTCGAAACCTACCAACGGCTAGTACCAATGTGACTTTTTCCGAGTTATATGTACTTTCTAAGATTATGACACTGACAAACGGTGAAGGAAAACATCGTGAGGAAACCTGGTGCAATAATTTCAATATTATTAAATTTGAAATCGCCAACCCGCATTGAGCATGGTGATTAATGCTCAAACCTCCGTGTGAGAAGAGGCTTTGCTCAGAAGTGGGCATTTAATGGCTGTTGATAATGATGATGAATTACGATGAAGGTGAGAATCTAGACTTAAAAAATACATCAGTTATAAGAAACCACGAGCATGGTGGAGATGCTTGATGCTGTCACCTTCTCCTTATGAAAAGAGGCATTTACCCAGCAGGGACTAACTGACTACCTACTTTAATACTGATATCGTAAACTCTATGTACCTAATACATAATGGATTAGATATAAGTAAAAAAAAACCAGAAATTGTTTTAATCTACATTTATTAATATTGAATGAATCAAATTTAATTACTATCATAATACAGCCCACAGCGAGCCCACATACCATACAAACCTTAAAAGTAAAATATAAACAACAATAGGTAGTACTTTTGTACATAACATAATTTTACAAATACATATTGATCTTAATTACAGAAATATAGGAAAAATTACGACAAAATATAACTAGACACTAAAAATAATTTCAAATATAATTAAAGTTAAAAATAAATGGAATAATAATAAGCCCCATCCAGCTATGTAATCTCCAGCTACCTAAATATATATATCCCTATTTTTGTACAGCATTTAGTCCCCAAATTCAGCGTGGATAAGGCTTTATCGATGTCGATAGACAAATGTGAAGAAGATTAGAAAAACACTTATTATAGTTCGTAAACAGGACGGTAAGAGACAGGCAGAATATTACAAAAGATAGTACTAAGTATAGACTTATCTATCGACACCGAATGGCAACTTTGGATTTAATACAACAATAATCAGAAACGTAGGGGTACGTAACCGAGCATAAAAAAATAAAAACGAGAGATTGCAAATAAATTTTACTAAACAATTATGCTAATTGTCTTTGCAGACGGGATACGGGGCAGATGGTATGCCGAGTTAATCTAAAAATGATTGGTACGTTAAAATTGTCTACCTCATTCATAAATGCGTTTCATTGTGGGTCAGCTGTTCAAACTTCCAGCGTCTTATTTAATCAATTACTTAAACTTCATTTTATTGGGCTCATACTAATGCAACCAGTATATACTATTGTGATGCATTCTACCACGCGTCGAACATGATTTGATATGTTATGTTAAACGCATCAGTTGCAGTCAAAAACCGAATGTATGTCATAGTAATAATCAACGGCTTCCAATTAAAAAGGCTAAATATAATGCCTAAGCTTTCAATCACTCCACACGCAGGTATAAAACGTGCATCCAACAAATACTCATTCTTACACCTTAAATACTAACAAGTGATTAATATAGGCCAAAGCTACTCAAGGTAAGGCCAGTAAAGCTCTTAAAGCGGACTTCGTCCAAGGGGCATTTGTATCGGAAAAAATAGAACGTTAGACATTGTTTGCACAGATTATTCACCAAGAGCCCTCGTGTTGTTTTAGGACGAAGTGTCATTACATCAAAATGGCGGGAATTACATGGACACCATATTTGAATTATTTGACGTTTGACTGAATGACCACATCACACTTTCTAAATATAGAACAAAATTATAAAACACCAAGTACAAAAATGAATAATCAGGTAAATTAATAAAAGAATAATTTGTTCTAAATCAGTAATTCGATTTACAATGACGCTTTTCATGCATACTCCGTTAAACGCAGTAACCGTGCAATGTAATAAAAAAATAAAATTTCGTCCAATTAACAATTTAGACATCACCTCGAATACATAAACATCCGTGGTTTCATAAGATGTAAAAAATTCGTTGCACATAAGAAACCAGCAGTATTTTAGAATGTTCTAATCAAAGTATTTCCGAATACACCGCAAAGTTTACTTTAAGCGTATAACTTTGTATGTGATAATAGCATCATTGTATCACGAATTACTATATCATCGACAACGTATATGAAATCTATACGACTGTAAATTCAAAAAAACTGATAAATATTGAGTTACTTTGGCTGCTTTTACAAAGTTGTATTGTGGCTAAAACTAACTAAGTAAGTGTCTAGGGCGCCAGGTATCAGAGGGGCGTCACAAAGCCGCGAGACGTGTGATCACAGAGTGATAGGCGGTGCCATTCATCCAGGTTCAGTTGCAAAGTTTTTGTTCACAGCAATGACGTTTAGTTAATCATTTTGTTTTGCTTTTTATTGTTTCATACGCAGTACTGTAATTCCATTAATTTACAGTCGCATAGATTCTACATTAGCTTCAGCCAACTAGCCAAACAGCCTTTTAATTGTCAACCTTATAACAGGACTTTTGTTTCTAAGCAGTTGATACTTTGTCTTCTTTTACAAGATGAACAATACACACATTCATTTCAAAATCCTACTACGTAGGTCAGGTATTAGGTTAGCCCTTTATAAATTGTAATACCTATATGGGAGCATTAGTTACAACAAATTAAAAGGCTAATTGAACTATGCGGTTGAAACATTGACAGATTCAAAAATCATCAAGGTGTGACGTGGAAATTAAACTGGCAGCCTCCTTGTCGCCGCAGCCTTACTCTGGTTGGAAACTGAAATGAGATAAAAACTATATTAGTTTCACGAATTAACTATATTTGGCACAGAACGGCTGAAACAATAGATAGATAAACGACATTTTATCCCTGAAATAGAAACCAGATTAGCTTAAGCTGGGTTAGTAAATCCATATATAAAATATCTATTCATAATAATGTAATGCCTAAATGTAATTACTATCCTAAGGGTCAGGACAAAAAATACCTTATGTCAATCTACGACACCGTGTAGCATAATGAAAGCTTTATTTTTTTTGCTCACTATATACCGCTAATGTAGCGTGAGACCTCTTCGTCCGATCACTGTACCTGTGCATTGTGCACCACTGGTTTAACACTAGCTAATTACCTATTAGGCAACGAGACAGCACGGTACATTAGAGCGCTAACTGGTAAGAAAAAAATGGCAGCCCCATTGTATTAAGCATCGTAGATCTTCTTTTAAACGTAATATTATGTCCTGAGCTTCTACTTTGAACAACTGCACCAAATTAGATATAATAATAATTATCAAATTTTGTCCAGATCTATAATAATTAATAATCCTAATAATATTTTTTGTTACATTCGCAATATTCGCATTTGCCAGTAGAAGGTAAAATCTGGTAAAATAATCGAATGGTGAGTCAGAACAGGCAGCTAGCTAAGACAAACAGTAAAAAGAATAATAGCCATTATAATAAATACACTAAGATAGTAATTAATTCAAACTATTTTCCAAAAACTGTAAAACCTTTTGTTTGCTATTATTCATTAATATTCAAATTTTAAGTTTGACTCCTAACCTATTGAAGCTAAACAGTGAAAACTTCTATTACCTTTACCTAATTATAAGTCGTTTCAATTAACCACCATCATAAATGTTATTCTTCAAAGGAACTGAGATAAGAAAAAAGTATAGGTACCAGTGTCTTTTTTCTACTACTAGAGCCAAATGAATGGTAATGGTAATGAATAACATCACCAACCCAATGCACCCAACACGTGTGATCATGTAAATTATCACTTAAAGAAACTATAAAAATAATAGCTTTGTTAAATTGTCGGTTTCCTCCACACCATTAGAGATGTATAACTATTTATTATTGATGCTTTTGCTAAGACATCAAGCTAACCCATCTGACTATTTTCATCATTACATTTCCAACTTTATACTATAAAAATAAGGTTGAAAATCATTGACAGAATATCTACTACATTTTATACAAAATGTCTGTCGTTACATACTTCGATAGCCTGTTTACATGCATGAGTATTTAAAGGAGATATATACAACATAACACCCATTTTTGTAAAAAAACATTGCATCATATTCTATTGTCTGAAATCGAATGCACAATCAGGCAGTTACCTGTCTAACATTTTTTATCAGAGATATAATTGTAACACATTTTGTACAGTTTAAGTCAAAATTATCTAATAACCAAATCTACAAATATGATTTGTTACTGGAACCGGCCTTGTGAGGTTTGTATTACTTGACACCTATGAATTCTTTTCAAACGCAGCAATCAGGAAAAAGCAGTCTCACCTATTGTAAATTTCTACATTTACTAAACTTATGCCAAAAGATTTTGCACCTGAAATTATGCACTAAATTGCATCTAGAACTTATTCAGAAATTATACTAAATCACTGTTAGTTGTAAATGTATTGTGTAATAATATATTAATGATAATATTAGTGCAATGTATATTATACACTTATATAGTGCAATCATTAATCTTATTATTAAGGTAAAAATGCTTACATATGAATTGTTTAGCAGATATTGGCAATAGAAAATAATATACATTGAGTTAAAAAAAACATTCAGCTTTGCAGAACATTGTTTCTCCGACTCACTATTACGTGGTGCACCATTTATTTGCCAAGTGTGTCCAAAGAGCAGACGAAGGGTCTTCCTAAGAGGGGAAAATAATTCAATGGCTTCTACCGCTTTGAATGAGGCGAGAGGGAGTATCAGATTCTTACTAACTAAAATCTATCCCGTTCCTATTTCTGCGCCTCGAACCGAAGCCCGGGCAACCCGTTAAGTCTGGTCTACATGTTTAACAGTGATCAGACAGCAGCGTTCTCTGATGAACCTGAACTCTAATACTGGAATCTACAACCCATCTACAAGAGTAGAAATTACGGCAAACTCCATTAATGTTCGAAAGGTCATAATCCTGCAGTGGTGTTCTGCGGTTAAGGCCGATGATAATCCTTACTATTATAAATGGGAAAGTGAGTTTGTTTGTTTGTTCCGCTTTCACACCGTATCTTCTAAACCGATTGCTTTGAATTTTGGTAGACGTAAAGTTAGAAGTCTGGATTAAACAATAGGGTACTTTTTTATCCCGGAAAATTTTGATATTCCCGAGGGAAAACAAAAGAATTGGTATAGATGGCGCTGTGTGTATTGGTATATGTCACATAGGCACATATCCTTTTGTGACGCGAGCAAAGCCGCGGGTAAAGTCTAGTAATATATACGAATCGGTGAATCATCTCAAACAATTATATCACCAATATTTGAGGGCATAGGACCAGTTTGTTTCACGTTTAACAAGATCGATTTATTGTGTTCAAGTTAGTAAAATATTATTAATATTATACGTATAAGTATGACATTAGTAGTTTCAACTCTTAATTAGAGGTATAATAAACCATATTTTGAGCTTAATGAAACGAATTTATTATACTTTGTGAATATATAGTGTGATGTCCACGATCAAATGGGACAAGGTAATCCGCAAGGCAAGCAAGGATTTTAAGAAATAATGTAGTAAGTGGCATATCATTATAGAATCCTTATTAAATGTGCCAACTTTAGTGAAATTTACCATTATAGCGGAGTACAAGTTACTCTCAGTACAGTCATTTAAAGTAATGAGAATTTTATTATGAACAGTTTGTTCGTCAAAAAACGACTTTCTTTTCCAAACTAAAATAGTTCCATAATACTGGAGTACTATTAATAACAACATCACCAAAAATACAACCGAAAAATTTAGGAATTATAGCAGCAACCTAAACTAAGACTTTCTCAGCCTATGCTGTATATACTTTTTCGTGGATAAAACATATGTCATTTTAATTTTATAACTATACTAGCGGACCCGACGGACGTTGTCCTGTATATCCATTTGAATGTATAAACAAAAATTCATTCAAATTAGTTCAGCCGTTTAGGATAAATAACCTACAATTCGACTGCAGCGCCATCTGCCGGGCTGATTTGTGAGTCTAAACCATCCAGGGCGCCACACAAACGCTTACACAAAAAAATCATTTAAATCGGTCAAGCCGTTTAGGAGGAGTTCAATGACATACACACGTACAGCAGAATTATATATATAAAAGATGCGTTGGATGATTTTTAAATTATTCTGATAACTGTTGGAACCTTGCCGATCACCTGGTGCCATTTGATCGTAACCTTTAGAAATGCCCTATACAGTGTATACGAACTGAAATACTTCGAAATTTTTATTTGGTTGTGGTATTTGGTAGAGGTGTAAATGATGGTACGTTACTTAAGCTGTGATACATTTTATGTTGATCATTTAAAATGAAGTACCTAGTTAAACTAGACTAGTGTTTTACAAGCGCTATTGGTATCTATAGTTAAGCTATGACTACGATTTAGCTAAATCTAAATGTACCATAAGAACTACATTTCTACAGACATGATAGAAATTAAACTTGTTTAACTGAGTTATAAATTGGGTTTATTATAAAATATGAATGTAAGGTAAGGTTAATATTCTAATGGGTGTTATTTTAATATTTGAGGCAAGCTACCTCTATAATTGGGTACTTTCCTTAATCAAAAATAAACTATTTAGACTGTTCAATACAATAAAACATTAAACAATAATCACACTTTCATTAATTGATTTTATGACCAACTTAATTGTAGTATATTTCCAGCAAATTTTTAAGAAAAAAGCATGCGGTTTCGTCACAATACACAATCTCGTGCAAGATTCATAGAAAACTGTCGTTTTTGACAGTTCGAAAAAAGTATTGAATTTGACTAGTTGGCAAATACCCAATTATTATGGAGATTCTGCATAGAATCGGGATTTGGCAGCTAACCTCAAAATGAGTACTGGGCATTATACATATACAGTTGAGAATTTACTAGTTCTGTTACGGAAAATGTTACTAACTCATTTTGTAGTATATTTAAAGGATTGGTCTTGTTTTCTACTAGGAAGACTAAAAGGGGATGTTTTTGAATCGAAATGAAAAAAGAGTGTTAGATACATGGTATTCCAGGACTGTAGTTTCTTCTGTAACCTGCAGAATACCGAACTCCTCATCAGCATATAGCAGAGGCATCGTGTTTGGACTCATTGTAATGGGTTTTGTATATAGGAGGTAGATATATGGTGATCGTTAGCACCTGAATCTGTAAATTCCTACCACCTTTATGTTTTAAAACCATGATAATCATTAAACGCGCGATCTCGTACACACGGGTAAATATTTTAATATAAAAGCGAATAAACTATTCTGATCAATCAAATAAAGAACGGGTTGCAAACTTGAAAATATACGTCACAGAAAAAATATCCAATCATTGCGCGTTTCTCGTACACCCGTGTGTACAATTGCGCGATGGGCACTCAACTCTGTCGTACACCCGTGTGTACGAGAAACACGCGAGAGGAATATGTAGGAATATGTATAAATAGGCTTTTTCTATAACAAAACTAGTTATTAGGGTCAATATATTAAAAATGATATAAAAAATTATAATAATAGTTATTAATTTATAATAATTATAATATCAAAAAACATAACATAATAATTACAATATATTAAATATATAATGGTTCATCGATTTATATAAACATCTGATACAAAAATATTATAAAGTTTCTGTGTTCTACCCAAAAGTAAGTACAATATTCCATTTTTATTTTATTTCAGTGGAAATGAATCGCAACAAAAACAAACTGAAGGTTTTATCCAGTTTTAGTGCGCATTAGAAAAAAGTCTCAGTCAATCAGACAGTCGGGTAAGGGATATCTGGTTCGATTCCCGAGAAGGGCAAAGTACTACTGGGTTTAAAAAAACCACAGTACGTATAGTAGCGCGGTGTCTGGAATTGTGCCCGGTATATGGCAATAGGCTTACCCAATAAATAGTGAAAAGTGGGTGTTACATTGTACAGTGGCATTAAGTGCTGTAATGTACACCTCTGCCTACCCTTTCATGGATAAAAGGCGTGACTTTGTGTTTTTTTATGTTATAAAGAAAAAGTTACTTCTTCATTGAAAGAGTTCAGTCTTAAATATTATTGTGGCAGATTTTATTCTTTAAAGTTATAACACCCTATGTTTCGTCTAGGAATTTTATCAGGTTGCTTTACTTGTTTAGCATTTGCACAGGGTTTATTCTAGGGTATATCAAAACTGCATAAAGTTCATTGTACATTGTATACTAATACTAGCTGTGCTTGCACAATCCGTGGTCATGATCTTAGTCTTACTAAGGTTCATCGTCGTCGTCATGATGCGTCATGTAGATCATGTACCATGGTCTAAAACACTTCTGGATCAATATCTATTAACACAATATCATCGACGAATCGAAGATTAGATAGCCGTGTACCTGATATTAAAAGGCCTTTATTCTCCCAGTTGAGTTTCTTGAATACATCCACCAAGATCACCGAAGTTTAGGCGAGATAGTGTCTCCCTGCCGACACCCCTTTGGATCTTTATTCGATTAGTGTGGTGAAGTGAGGTTTAGCAGCTTTTACAGTTGCGTTTTTGCAGAGTTTTTCTATGAAGTAGATATAGAAGTAATCAACTCTAGCGTTTCGTAATCTTTCTGAAACGGCCCATGTCTCCACGCTAGCAAAAGCTTTTTTTATAGGGAGTCGATAAAAGCCTGCCTCGTTGGCCGAGTGGTCGCAAGTGCGACTGCCAGGCAAGGGGTCTCGGGTTCGATTCCCGAGTCGGGCAAAGTATTACTGGGTTTTTAAAAAATCTCAGTAGTAGCACGGAGTCTGGAATTGTGCCCGGTATATGGCAATAGGCTCACCTCCTATTACATGGGACTCATAACATGAATAGTGAAAAGTGGGTGTTACATTGTACAGTGGCATAATGTGCACCTCTGCCTACCCCTTCGGGGATAAAAGGCGTGATGTTATGTTATGATGTGTTCGATAAAAGCTAACCATAGTGGGAATTTGTATTCTGTACATTTCTCTATAAGCACTCTCATCGTTAAAATGTGGTCAAGCGTGCTGTATCCCTGCCTAAACCCTGCTTGCTCTCTTGGCTGATAGAAGTCCAGTTTCCTTGTATGTAATAAAATATTTTAAACGTCACGTATGTAATAAAATATTTTAACAAGTACTTACGTCAAGAAGAAAGAAGAAATTATTGATTAGAGGTATTGGTAATGTATTTAATAACCAACATGAAACTCTCAAGAACCTGAATGTCGTAAAAGCCATCTGCAAGCTATGCAGGTATTATAGTTTTGAAATAATGTGTTTGTTTAGTTTACGAGTCATTCCACGTAAAATATCTTCTTACCTAACCATATATTTGTGTGATGAACCATTTGCCAATACTATGAATAGTATGCAGGTCAAATTGCCTCGTTAGAAAAGTTAATTCTTATTTATAAAAAGTTATACTATCGCCTCCTTAAACACAAATCAAATAGTGAACAAAGCATCACACAGCTTTAAAGGAATCATCAAGACATTGTAAGTATCTGGAAGTCTTTAAAAATGAAGCCGTTTGAGAAATAGGCATTAAAAGTCACGTCACAAAGCCCAACCAAACCACAATGAACCGGACGACTATTGAAACCAATCTCAAATAAGACAGGGTTAACAACGATCAATATATGGACACATTAGTATATACATACATATAGTAAATACTCGTATATTTTATGGATATATTACATAGATGTTATCTGGTTATATATGGACAGCTACGAAACTAGGGAGATCCCATTTAAGGTAAGAATGGATGACGATCGTGAAGTGATACTAGTTGGGTTAGTACTGCAATGAAGACATGTAACTTCGACCCACATTCAGGCATGATGTTCTAGCGTGGTGTATACCTTGGTAGCTTAGTTGTTAAGCCAATCCCAAGAATCCTCATCTGATCCATTCTTCTTTTTTATGGTGAGGTTCTTTATATCCGGCGGTGGACTGGACACGCCCACTTGCGATAGATCGCGGGTGTCCAAGTTGTTTCGTGCTGCAACCGACTCTTTCCACGGTTGCAACTGTTCGTTCCTGGAAATTTTATTTCGTACTTTGTTACATAGAGTCTATTGCTTCGCCTGGCCTCGTAATGCGCCCTGTGCTTAGAAGCACCACCTGGCAGAGGTTTGCGAATTTGACTGTTACACTGCAAACGTGTTAGATATGTACGAAAGGAATGTTATAAGTGAGAAATTAAGGAACCGCAAATAATACGAACGACCCAAACCAACCAGCAGCAGCAAGCAATCAAGCCACCAGCACCAATAGATCGGATAAGCAACGCAGCTGATGACCCTATAATGAACGCAGCATCTTACAAGTCCAAGTAGTATTCTACTGCTGAAGCACTTTGTACCTTATCGGTACTGATATTAAACACCATTTTCAACAACGTGAAACGACGCTCACCCCGTCTTAAGACGCAAACTTTGGCAAGCCGCATCAAAGCGTGTGTCAAGAGGCGCACAAAATCGTGAACTAAATTGGAGTTTGCATTTTTAGACTATTGTCTCAGACTTTGTTTATTTTTATATTTTGTGTTGTATAAAAAATTATGTTTATTTTCGTTTTTAAGTGTATAAAACTTCAAACCTTTTTAGTTTAAGCAACCATGACACTTAGGACAAGTATCTTCAATTAACAAAAGAGCATAAATTTATCCCAGAAACTTACAAACTGGTTAAGCCGGAAGCAGTGTGCCTGCAAGAAAGCAGTAAGAACATTTTAAACATACCATGACGCATAGGGCTCCGAGGTTGAGGACTTCATTGCGCCATACCCAGCCTGGTAGGAGCCCAAATTTTCGGATCCTCGTCTTTGCTCCGTTGTTCCCGACAACGTGCTCCACCCCGCTCGGTTGTTCACCTGCCGATGACACATCAAAATGTTTAATTCCTGACTTTGATATTGTAAATTTTTACCCAGACGGCCGAATGATTAGTAAATGTTAGTACAAGCAAAAATATTAAGACAACAATTTTCCTGCAATTTTAAAATATACCTACTCTTCAGCGAAAGACATATCTGTACAATAACTGGTACACCATAGATGTATGTACAATGTACATCTAACTCGAGGCCATTTCCCAACGAAAGTGAGAGCTGTCTGTGTTGTCAGATCTGACACTGACAGATATGACGAAACGAGGAACAAATTAAAGTGGCCCTACATTAGCATTTGTCTCACTCTCCTATGCCGACGACACGACACGACTCCGACAGCTCATACAAACTCTTACCTATGTAACGTCAACCTGTCGAAAATTAACATTATTCATAATACCATCACCAACAACTGAGGGAGAGCCATACTTCTCGACCTCGACCGGAGCAATATGTGTTGTATTTCGCCATGTAAGTGAGGTCACTGGAGGCCAGTGTAATTACACTGGTTAATTAACCACCTCCCCAATCCTCAAATTCCTAAGCCCCAAAAGGTCAGCAACGCACTTGTAAAGTATGTGGTGTTTCGGGTGCTCAGCGCCAATTGCTTACCACTAGGTGATCCGACTACTAGGTATTATCATCATAACCTTGCCCACTGCTAAAAAAAAACTTCTCACTCGAAGAAAAAATTTTGCAACTTACCAAACTAAAAAAAACAGAAATGCCAATTTTTTTCCAATAGTTCCTGCTTCGTTTTTGTTACAGTGTTGTTAGTCCACCTACATCTTTTTAAAGAACAAGGCTATCAGATAAAACAGAATTTTTTAAATTACTTCGAAAGAGCACACTAGAAAGTACACAAACCAATAAACAGTTTAGTTTTAATGTGTTAGAGAAGCTGTAGATGTTATTGTTTGGTCTTTGGTTAGTAAGATGTTAATTTTAATTAAAGGCCATCACAGATGTAGCTATAATATATATTAAAATAAGTTATCATATTGCTAATTCTGGCCGCTATGACGCAGTTCCATTGTCCGTGTAACAAATTCCGGATCATGATGCCGGTCAGCTATACTGTAATTTAAAAACTATAAGATTTGGATTTTTAATATTTTCTGATAACTGTTGGAACCCTGCCTATCACCTGGTACCATTTGATCGTCGACTTCAGGGACACCTGTATATTATAGCTCAGTCTGTGGCGGCTTTATTTGTTAGATAGCCAGTCAAGGCAAGTCAACTGCAGAGATAATAGGCGCATAAATATCTGTGCAAATGTAGGTCCAATCAGTGTTCTCAAGTCTCTTGATCTAAAGGAATGCTAATCCCACAAGATCGAAGAGAAGATCACACAGGACCTTTACCTGATTTCAAAGAACGCCAATTTTCTTCGGCTTCGGACCACTGGAATTTCCTTTTTGACTGACCCGGGGATCGAACCCCAAACCTCATGGCCGCGGTTTTACACAAACCACTAAACCAACAAGGTAGTCAATTCAAAAGAATAAATAAAGTTTATGAAAATTGGAAAAATCTTTTTCCAGAAGCAATACTGCACCTGATCATAGTTTAATTTCCAGAAACTCGTACGTTTCTTTCTTGTAATACGTGAACAGCTCCAGGGCTGAAAGCGTATTGTTGTAGCAGAAATTCTCTCTTGTTGGTTGATTTTCAACCATTTAGTTATTATTCACGTAGAACGTGAATAAAACAGCCTCCTTGGAGGAATGAAAGTGAGTCCACAATGAATGGGACTGGCAATGTAAATCCAAATGTCTCACCCTTTCGGTTACGGTAGAAGCCATTTCTGTCACTTTCTGCGATGCGATGCCTCCGTAACGTACGGCACTCTCAGTGGCGGTGCGAGCGGCTTTGCTGACAGATGAAGTAAATAGGGACCATCCCTGGAAAACGTGGAACGAGGGGCTAAAGATAGCTGACAAAGAACAGGAGATATCAGGTGCACATGCAAGTCGTCATACAGACGAAGATTCGTTTCGTTGTGCAAGCCTTTACGTACATGATCGTGCTGACTTTGTATGCAAGGCAATGTGGCAATAGCATACACGATACAAAGGAGTTTTCTATCAATTTTAAATTGATAGAGTAAACCTGTAAGCAAATGATCATGGGGAAAAATACACAGTAGCATTGTGCATACATTACTGCGATTAAGGGTTAACATTACTCGTAGATTTAATTCAATCGTTACTCATAAGTTTGAATAATAGTTAAGAGACCTACTAGTAAAATACTGTATCAATCTGGTTTGATAACTGTTGTGATCAAATATGTTCATGAGACGTCGAAATCGCATTCCAGCAAGCTGCTATACTGCCCTAAGTAATGGAGGATAAGCTTAAACTTTAACATACTTTAAGCAGTAGCAAAATTGTTATTATGGATGAAATATTAATAAACTACAGTGGAACGCTACAGACCGCAGTGAATGTGCAATCGCATCGCCTTACCGCGGGAGCAGTCGTCGGTCAGTTATTCGATTGGGGTACAGAAGCCAATGTTTTAACAATTACTTGTTGCTTTAACAATAAGTTAAGGAGAAACGGTCGCGTTATATTTTTTTCAACATAGATAGGTGTATAAGGATAAACAGTATACATTTTTTGAGAAATTTAAATCAAGCATGACGTCAGTTTTCATTGATCGTCAAGTCGTAAGCAAATGGAAGACAAAACGTCACGTTAAATACTAATTTCCAAAAAAATAAACGCTTTCATCATCACTGTACACCTGTTGAATGTTGGAAAGGTACATTCCTATACTAATACTAATGACAAATAGAGATTATTGTAAGTCACATGAGCAAACAACTATGATAAGAAAAATGTTGTTGAAAGGACCATCGCTTTAAGCAGTTGAATATTTTGGTCCGTTTATGAACGGTTTTCGGCAAAAAATGGTCTCAGTTTGAGAAGGAAATTATGATAGTTTCCAAGCATAAAGGTAAGTTCTGAAGGTCGTGCAACATACGACATGGTCATGCGAATGCTGGAAACCATATAAAATGGAGTACATACGATCTTTAATGACCGCCCGTAAGATTTCTTTTTCCGCGCCAAAAAACATTCTTTGTCTTCATTACGACGGCGCGACCGTCCGAACTTGCCCTTAATTAAAAAATATACTTTTATGTCATATTATAACTGTTATATTATATGCTTTATCCCCTAATAGCAATGTCCCGCGGATCCACATACCTACGTCTAAGTTCTTATAAGTGGTACGATAAGCATTAAGCATTTGATGTTTCAAAAATAAATAAAAGCTTCATATAGTTTTACCTACAGGTATCTGTAATTATACAAATGCCTACTAATACCTACTACTACTGCTAATAACATCTTCGACCTTTTACTACAACTATCGTCAACTCAAACGGGTCTTTACTATCGATTCTATACTAGACTATATGTGACTACAAAACTTGGACAACACACAAAACATCACTTTGCACAAAACTAGCACAAATGAAAGAACAGACTACAAATTATGGTTCCAACACCCAATTCACAACCGACAAGTGCAGTCAACCGAGGTTAATACGACATTTTCAAGTCACGTGGTAGATATTGCTCTAAGCAAAAAAGCACCAATCTACTTAATTGGAGAAGCCTCGTACAAAAATCTGCCTGAAACAGCTCGTGTGGTGTTACTGGAGTTCAATTGCCTACCATCAGAACCTAGTCTGATTAGAATCGTTGACAAATTTGCAATAATGAAATCATTATTACAATTTTGCAATTACCGTAATAGTAGACTATCCCATAAGGAACATATGTACAGTCAACGGTCAAAAGTCCACTGCCACCGTGCGTGATGTTCCCACGGCAATGCATAAGTAATTTTAATACGCATAACGCATAATTAATTACGCATAAACAAACGCACGCGAACGCACACGGATAAAAATATCCGTGTGCATGTATGTATAAGCGCTGCAGCGCAACCGGTAGCAGTCTTACGGTGGCAGTGGACCAGTGGCTGTGGCTTTTGACCTTTGACCGTACAAACACACATCGATGTAGCTATGGCGTAAACTATAACACCCTAATAGTTTTTGACACCTCCGCATTCGTGTCACAATCATACTCAATTACATACAGGACGATAAACAACATGCCTAAATCTGCGCAAATTAATTTACGAACGATTCAAGTAGAAACACATTCATGTTCGTGATAATTTAATCCTTTTTCCAGATAATACATATACTTACTTTTCATTCCTATAATACAAATTTATGAATATCGTATAAATCCATTAATCTCTATATAACAATACAATATTTAATGTAAATGATAAAATAATCCCAGGAAAACGAACCTTAACAAGTGATAGATTAAGTTTCGTTTGCGTTAGCATTAATTATTAAGATCTTGTACTCACTGACGCCAGTGATGCCAGGGTATTGTCCATAGCATTCTCCCCGGGCGCCGGGCTCATGGGCGACGACGGAGAGTTTTTGGCCGATCCAGACCACCTGTTAATAAATTAAAAGTTGATGTCAATAGTTACATGCATATCAGGTACAGAACTACCTACAATATAATAACATCTGTTTTTAGGCAAAACTATATTGAAACATGTATTTTATTTAGAATACCTTATCCCACTAATTTGTTAATGCAAAAGATTGTGAGAATGTATGTGAGTGTGTGTGTGTTTGTTACTGCTTCACGCAAAAACTACTGATCAGATTTAGATGAAATTTCACAGTTATGTAGGTCAAACATCAGAATAACTTAAAAGGCTGTAATTTATAGTGATTATATGATATTTTAGGCGTACGCTGCCTAAAACATAGGAGTTACACAAAGATAATGTACTGTAAAATTGATTGTCTTGATTCATTCTAAATAAAAGTCCGCGACGGCATATTTCTACCTCCTATGTGGAGGTCGCGATGTATTTTTTTTTTAAATAGTAATTACGTTTTATCTGAACACGGATAACTGACAGGTAACATTACTACGGTAACCAACTACGTACTACTACAGTAAACAACCAACAACAAAGACTAAATCAAAAACCCAAATACTACCAGAAGTCATTATTTTACGCAGACTAAGTCGCGGGTAACATCTAGTATTATTTTAAATGCGAAAGTTTGTGAGTGAGTTTGTGTGTATGTTTGTTACTTAAATATGTCAAAATGGCTGAAGGGAACGGGATGAAATTTGCAATAGGCGATTATGGTCTGTAAAATAGCACATGGGCTACTTTTTATCCCGAGGGAACGCGAGCGAATCTGCTGTCACAAGCAAGTACTAAATAACTGTACTGACTGTACATCAACTCCATGGACAGATTGCAGTCTATTTATTAAAATGGAGGCTAGTGATGGCAGACATAGGCAGCTCCTAATATGTATAGGCGCTCATAGGCTCTGTTTCCAACATATCTCCGGTCATCAATTGATACTGAGTAACCAGTCTGGCTATTGTATATCCGTCGTCTATGTTGGCTCAACAAAGGGTCTTGATCTATTCTCAGGTCAACCTATTTATTGATGAGTATTCCTATTTGTACCATGTGTGATTTGATGACGGCAGGGTATAATACATTGATTACTCCGCAGGCTGGCGGGGGTATCGTAAGTGCCAATTAACATAACGCTAAAATCAATTACTCATTTTAATTTAAAATCTGTGAATCGACCCAAATTTTTTTCACAATCTTTATATAAGTAAGAGGAAACCTCAGGTTTTGATTATCGATTTAGATCACAATAATCACAGGTTTAACATAGACCGGGCATCAGCATTTTCTATTCGCCTATGTAGCGTAGACATTATGACAGAGGAGACCAGCAATGTACTCTCACGTGACGTACCTATATGTTGTCTTTATGAGCTCGTACGCAATCCTGAAGTCAACCTTATTGATAATTACACTAGTCAACAAAATTTTGTAACAAGAAAGGTGCTGGCTAATTTTAAAGTACCTACCTACCCTCATTTTATAACCATATTTATTTTGATTCCATCACATCTAGTTTTCGTGTTACAGCTACTACCCACAAAATTAAAAATTAACCTTTTTTGTTTTACTTTCGCATTCAGAGAATTTGTTTATTTGAAGAGCGTAGTGGTTTGTTCTGTTTTTAGAGTAAAGTGATTCTTAAATAATGTCTAGAAAGTGTAAAAATGATCCTGACAAGTTTTGTTACATTTGTGGTGACATTACTTTCAAAACTCAGCGAAGGAATTTGACACCATTAGTAACTAAGTTATATGAACAGTATTTTGGTTTTGCCATCGGACAACAAGACAAAGCCTGGGTTCCACACATCTGTTGTGTTACATGTGTGGGTCTTCTCACTGGATGGGCGAAAAGATCTCGATCTATGCCTTTTGCAATCCCTATGATTTGGACGGAACCAACGAACCACTCATCTGATTGTTATTTTTGTCTTACTGGTACAAAAGGTATTACAATTAAAACAAAAAGTAAAATCAAGTATCCTGACCTGCCATCAGCTAAAAGACCGATCCCTCATAGTGAAGATCTACCGGTACCAGAGCCACCTCAACCTAGCGATCTGTCCCTTACGCCAGAAGTCGAAAAAGAGACATTGGATCCTGACTTTCAAGAAGCTTCTTCATCCTCATCTAATGAGCCACATCTTCTATCACAAGGTGATCTCAATGACTTGGTACGCGACTTAAATTTGTCCAAACAACAAGCAGAACTTTTGGGCTCTCGATTAAAGGGATGGAATTTATTACAACCTAAAACAAAAGTATGTTACTTTCGCAATCGAGATGAAGAGCTAAAATGTTTTTTTCACAAGATGATCAGCTTGTATTTTGTAATAATGTCCATGGTGTAATGACTGTCTTGGGTATAGAATATAAAGCAGAAGAGTGGCGTTTATTTATTGATGGCTCAAAAGTAAGTCTAAAGGCTGTTCTTTTACATATCGGCAATAAACTTCCCTCTATCCCAGTAGGTGAGGCTTCTAATATGAAAGAGTCTTATGAAACTATTAAATTTATATTGGAAAAAATTCAGTATAACGAACACAACTGGAAAATTTGTGGAGATCTGAAGGTGATTGCCCTAATTTTAGGATTACAACTTGGTTATACAAAATACTGTTGTTTTATTTGTGAGTGGGATAGCAGAGACCGAAAAAATCATTATGTTCAGCAAGACTGGCCCAAAAGGCAATCTCTTACTCCAGGACAAAAAAATATTAAAAACCCTCCATTGGTGCAGCCTGAGAACGTATTTTTACCACCTTTACACATAAAGCTTGGGCTTATGAAGAACTTCGTAAAAGCTATGGATAAGAGTGGTGGCGGCTTCTTATATTTAAAAGAAAAATTTCCTAAGCTGAGTGAAGCAAAAATTAAAGAGGGCATATTTATTGGCCCCCAAATCAGGCAATTGATGAAAGATGATATATTTAAAGAAAAGCTTAGTAATTTAGAAAAATCAGCCTGGGAATCTTTCATGAAAGTAACTTCTAATTTTCTAGGAAATCACCGATCAAGTGACTATAAATGTATTATCACGGAGCTTTTATCTACTTATAAGGCTTTGGGCTGTAATATGTCATTGAAAATACATTTTCTCCATTCACATTTAGAGTTCTTTCCTGAAAATTTGGGCGCCGTCAGCGATGAACACGGTGAAAGATTCCATCAAGACATTTCTACCATAGAAAAACGATATCAGGGCAAGTGGAGCCCACGTATGTTAGCGGATTACTGTTGGACATTAAAACGAGACGTTCCTGAAGCAAAATACAGACGAAAATCATAAAAGTAAATTCATATTAATGTAGCAATCAATCGAAATAACTTCTTTTTGTTTATAAAAATTCAAAATTTCTAAAATGTTATAAAGTGGTATTACAAAAAAACTATTCGTATTTGAAGCATTTTAATTTTATTTCTAGTATCCTTATCCTTGTCCTAAACATAACTAGACAAAAGTTCTCATGTTACATGCAAAAATTGTTTTTTTGTTGACTAGTGTTATTAATAGGTATAAGTATTTAAATTTTCGAAAAGTGCAGTAAAAGTTTTGTTGAATATTGTGGTATATGGTCCATTGCATGCTTCCATTTTCATTGTCATTTCATTCATCGTTCATCACTTTATTATGTTTTAATGCCAACATGTTGGACATATTTGTGTGGCACAGCGTGTAGCGGTTTTCATGTAAAAGTACATTGAATATATTTGTATGTTTAACTAATCGCTGACATATTTCTATGTACTTATTGTCATCGACGCGACATCGTTATTAGGGCGCAATAATCAGTCTCCTTGTTTGCCCCACACTAGGATTTTTCCGAAACTGGACGCCGCTCGAAATACTGACACCAAGTATTCCGATACCGGCTGAGGCAGTTAGGAGGTGGTTTGAAACTGAGGAGATACGACCAGTGGCAGTTTCTTAGGGGTAAACACGCAGACTGTGCTTTGATTGGGGTTAAACTGGACCAAATTGAGTCCACCCTAATCAGAGATTCTCCCTAAAGAGGTCTCGATTTCAGACACGAGTCTGTTTCGGGTTTCTATGACGTTTTCCCGAGAAATCCCAGTAGGCATCGCCTGTCCTGTCATCCGCATAACAACGAAAGCCGCTGCTTTGCAGCATGTCATTGATATGAAGAAGGAACAATGTAGGCGATAGCACGCAGCCCTGAGGGACGCCTGCGTTTACAGACAGCAAGTCAGAGCATTCACCGTCGGTAACAACTTTAATGTTTCTGTCTGCAAGGAAGGAAGAGACCCATTCGCACAATTTCTCGGGAAGCCCGTAGGAAGGAGACTTCGAAAGAAGCGCTCTATGCCAACCCGATCGAAGGCCTTCGCCACGTCCAAACTTACTGCCAACGCTTCCCCCTTAGACTCGATCGCCTGTGCCCACCGGTGTGTTAGGTAAACTAGAAGATCACCACCAGACTCATACGACAAGTAGGTAGTCGTAGGACTACAGAAATTTTATTATCAAAGAACAAAAATCTATTTCAACAAATTTTTTAATGGAAGTAGTTCTTTTTCTATGGGATTTATGTAAATAAATTATTATATTTTCGGCTTACTCACGTAATAATTTGACGAGGAACTCGACTAGTTTCAAGCCATGCTAGAGGCTCATATTTATGCTATTTTTATTTCAGTTATATTGTAGAAAATTAAATTTCTTCAACTATTGTTTGAAGTAATTTTTGTAATTTTAATACCGACTATTTCACTTTCCGAGGTGAAAACCTTATTTTCCTAGGCTACATCAGCATGCCTATGCTGGTCTATGCCATATCTCTGTGACCAGTACAGTAGATCAGTTAGTAAAGTTGCATCATGGTTCGTTTTCCGTACTCGGACTCAAGTATAGATTATTTTGGATTTGTATATAAAAAGTACATACTGGTAGCTTAAGTCATCAGAGTTCGTCTTGTTGAAAGTAGCCGAACGGTCGGGCGTGACGAAGTTAGACGACCAGCCACTGCTCTTTTGGGTCAATTCTTGTGTAAAATCCTCAGCAGACCAAGGTTTGCCTTCAGCCAAGAATGATATCTGTAACAGGAATAAAATGTAAATATTAAAACTTAGAGCATCAGAAAATTGTGCATCGGTAAACTGGATACAAGAAAATATTATACGACATTATAAAAGTTTAATTTGTTTCAAGACAACTGACCTTGAGGCGACATACAGGCATTAGCAAAATATAGCCGATGCGAAATAATGAACATATTTGAACTTAAAGATAACAATCTAGAACATTCATCTAATATTATTTGTTACACAATAATTCACATTAGCAATGGACGGGGCAGCACAAAGTGATTATTGAATATGGAGCTCAGCGAAATATGCCAGGCGCAACACACAGTAAACAAGTTTTAAATTTCAGGATCATAGACTATAAATATAAAAAGAACGCCACGCAAAATCACAATAACGAACTTATACGAAATATCGACTAACAACACATTCTTCCATGATGATAAAAGTGTCTAAGTGGAAGTGGATGTAGATCTAATTTACGAAACCAACAATCATATGAATATGAATGAATGGATGAAGTTTGTACTAGACTACAATTTATTTTAGTGCAAGACGAGATTAAACGTCATCGCACACCTAACAAGTACAGTCACGGTACGGCTCCAACCCATCAATTACCTTGTCATTGCATACTTATTTCATAGCGTCAATATAAAAAAGCTGCAAGTGAGCCGACAAACCGCGCGCCGTCGGCGCGTTTAGAACTTTGTGTTGTTTCCAAAGCAAAAAACGCCGTACCGGAACCGTGCTTATTAGGTGTGCGATGACCTTAAAGCGTAACAAAAACTTGACTGAAAAATAAACGTAGATGCGTAGCTCAAATTGGTGGTGAGTGAGAGACCGTCACAGTGCCGTGATCTAAATGTTACACACACCTCAGAGCGCGCAGCCCGAACGGGAGGCATGCTGTTGTGCCGCTGACGGCGGCTGCTGCGGCTGCTACGGCTGAGCGAGCGACACGTGCGCTCTGGCATAGAACACGACCGAACAGGTCGCGATTGGCGGTGCACCTTCATACGGTATTTATTAAATACTAACACCTTAGATATACATACGAATATCAATCAGCAAATAGATCGCTGTACAGCGTCAGACGGGCCCTGTAGGAAACTTACCAAGCCATTGGGCAGTAATGCCCGCGTATCCAACGTATCGCACATGGTGGATATCGCAGCCTTTCTTTGGTACAGGAACCTTAACGAGAAACCGTGATAGTTAATTTGAATATATTATATCATGAGAACACCTTAGGTCCATAGCACACGGCGTATTTTTATACGTGCAGGAAACGCGCGTTTTTGGCGCCGTAGACGCTGATTGATGCGTTTGCATTGATAATACGTGCGCATAAAGATAGGCGTTGCCTGTGCTATGGACTATTAATGAAATCTATCACCAGTACATGAATGACAATAAGGATATTATAATAACAGATATAATTAAAAAAAAAGACACCTCGATTTAAATATATTACAAAATGTATTGTAGGTTTTACTGATAGTGTCGAAATCGACAAAAATTTCTAATGACGTAATCTTTTTGATAAATTTTAAAAGTTGCTATTGTGGGTATGTCGAATTCGATATTTGTCGAAGGCTAACGTTAGGGTTCATGTCGAGTGCTTCTAAACAGAAGAGATGTCATGTCGATTGTAGAGATACGTCAATTAGACATTTTTGGTAGAGATAGACATATTTTTTAAATAGACATAGAGACAGACAAACTAACAATTTCAAACTCGAAAAAAATGGCAAAATTCGAGAATTGGCCCCCTGATGCCCAGCCAATATTATTAAAGAATTGATCAGACGAGCAGCCATCGATGTCTACTCATATTGACAAATCCCTCAGGTCTTCGATCGCCCGTTTTGCGATATTTAACCGCCAAGTTTGCGGGCAATAATCGCAACCGCGGGCGGCTGTAGGACCGCAAAAAACTGCTGTCTAGTGAGTTGTGAAAGTTCCGCCTCCATTCCGCCATCGCGGTGGGCGCGGGAGAAAATCGCGCCGTGAGTAGCCATATAGTAGCAAACAAATACGAAATAGTAATAAGTAACTGTTGATTAAATTTCAAATAGAAACTTTGTAGTGTAGTGTAAACTTTGTAGGTAGCCAATTAGCAATCAATATTCATAGTTTGTTAATTCAAGTAAAATTTCTAGTAAAATTAATCAGTTAACGATAAATACTATCAGAAAACAGGAAGAGGACTTAACTCGTCGAGTACCGGTTTTATAGACACAATTAAAGAACAATAGGTCGCGGTCACCGGTGACCGCTTGGTGTTTGACAGATTAAAGAACAAACATTATAGGTGTTACCTACAGTCTTAGTGGTTTGTAAGTAAGATAAGTAAACAATTATAACTAATTATGTTTATGTACGTTTTTAAACAAATTAACGTAATTAGCGTTATTGATTTCATACATTAAAATGTATCAAGTCAAATAAATGTAATTAGTGCCAAGTTGCATAATTCAAACCTGTTATGAGAGAACTTGCTAGTTACCGTTTCTATCGATGTGTCTTTCTGAATTCTAAATAGTTGAAATGCCAACAGTTAATTTTTTGTCATTCAAGGACTGAAGAAGTTTTTTAAAAATAACATAGTACGCATAATGAAAAACAAAAAACAATATAATTGAATAAAAAAATACTTGATATCTACCATATCCCTAACTCTAAACATTTTACGGATTAGTGGGGGCTTTAATATAAATAGTACGTTACGTTTTTTTTTAATTCTTCGTCTATTCGTTCAATAAGAGTAATAAGAGTGGCGTGTGAAACCGCGCTAGATTAGCTAGTTTACACATCCATTCAATAACTGAGCCTCAAATCAGTCAACCCCACCAATAAGTTTATTTAAAAGGATGAAGTACCAACAATATATCGTCATGTATCCGTAGACTATAATGATAATAATATCAACGAAGCAGCATCGTGTCAAAGCAATCATAGTTTGGTTCCAACCGGCATACATTATTAAAATTATATTGCAAACTCATCCGCTATGTGCACGGTTGTTGCATGCACGAAATGTAATTTGCTTTGTAAAATGCGTGAAAATGTTTCGACAACAAAATTATGTCTGTTTCCCAAAGTACATCTTCTTTTTGCTATTGTGTGAGCTGTTCTTGCTTCCAATAACAGGTGCCAAAAAGCACCTAAACGCACGGGTACGGTTCTAGATTCCACAAGGTCCGTATAATAAGCTACAAATGACTAAACAAATAATTTTTCAGATTATTACGTTCGTATTGCTAGAGATCACACTTCCACGTGTGTGATGGGCGGACTGCTCCTATTGCAACTCCGCTGTCGAACATTGGCACCACAATGAATCCACAAGTTTAAATGAGAACAACTTGCTTTTAAAGTTGCCGTGGCCAGCAACTTTAAAAATCATGCCATGTTGAAAGTTTGACCCTGCGATTTATTAATGGTCTTACAAAATATGTTTTTACCGGAAATTATAGGTGTTTGCGTAGCTTTAAAGACCTAAGCATACATAGGGACAGACAGAAGGCGGATAGCGACTTTGTTTTATACTATGTAGTGACGCGCCACCGACCCCCGGCTAGCCGCGAGTCGGTTAGCTTCGGCGCCGCAACAACTATGTTCCTACATTTTAAAGTAATATCTTCAGAAATATTCACTTAAATTACATGCTGTAAAAAGCATATTAATCTATAACAAATGCACAATTTTTGTAAGATACTTTTTAATAATTGGATAAGGATTAGTGCTGTTTTGTTTAAAATCACTTTGTAAATAACCATTTTTTAGTAAAGGATAAAAAATGGTGGGTCATTCATAATATTTAGATATATACCATCGCGGACATTTTTGTTAAACTTTTGTGGACAATATTGTAATACATTATTTTGATCTATCTCGTAGGGTTCAGCCTAGGTTTGCAATATAAACGCATTTGACACGTCTTTTTTTACTACCTTGACATTCATTTAATTTACTGTTTCATTTTTTTATAATGTTGTTGTTTGCAGATATAAATTCACTTGTTTCACAGGTAAAAACCAATTTTTCAGATAGTAGAGTTCTTTGTTCATAGGTTCGTAGTACTGTAGGATTACGGGCACTATACTCGCGACTATGTCGTGCCAAATTGGACAGTTCACGTCTTTGATACTTGTAACCGTGATTTTAAGTCTCACATTTCTATGACGCGATATCCCATGATTAAAATGGAAACATTTCTATGTGTAGAGGATTGTGATTTGTATTTTGTTTTTGTCATTTTTACGTTGTGGAAATATCCACTGTGCGCTACCTCGCTTGTTGACATTCTTTTGACGTGTGCATTTGAATAGTTTTTGGATTCGGTAGGATATAGGATGTCGATACCTACCTTTTAGAGGTAGGTAGATGGCATGTCGAACCTGTCGAAGTAATATATCCGTGTTGTTGTTCGTAAAGCAATATTGCAACGAACCTTTTTTGTATAGGTTACACAGATCTGTATAAATTTTTGGTATCATTAAAGAACAGATAAATCTCTTAGTACTATCAAACTCAAAAGGAATATGAAAATCGAATAATTATTGACAAACAACTCTTGAACAACCCAGTATTAAATCGTTGAAAATAAATTTAATTTCATACACAATGAATTCATACTTTCTATTGCAATGAATAGAGTTTCGTTTACCATGACATGATACCTCAAAGGACTCAGTTTGAGTTAAAGCAGCAAACACCCGGTAGCCTTCTACTGGCAGATGAAAATATGTTTCATTTGCAATCATAAAGTTATTTCATTTTAATTACACTTGTCTGGCGGTCCCTTTACAAAACAGTGCCGTATACAATTTATACGTAACTGCTAAATGTATGTTTAAACTTCCGTTGGGCTGTATTTTCAGTTCAAGGCAAACATGGGTTTGAGTCGCGGAAAACCTAACGGGTAACCGGGGCTCCGGCTCGACGTGCAGGAGAAGGAACGGGGTGGTTTTTAGTCAGTAAGAGTCTGACACTCCCTTCCGCCTCACCCAGGCAGGAGCAGTCATTCGAAGATTTTCCCCCCTTAAAAAAAAGGCAAACATGGGTGGTTGCCGAGGATAAATCTGAAGTGTCTTCAGTCTTAGTAGGTATGTCAGGGTTTTGGATACATAAGGGATGTAAAGGCCTACAAAAGAGGTAAAAACGAAGGCAATTCCCACCCGTATACTTCATCATAATACGTAATAAATTTGAGTATTCATGCTAACTACAGAGAAAATAACAGGGCAGGCAGAAATGACCTTATGACCGTATCAACTGAAGGGTAAATAAATAGAAGTAAACAAGTAACAACATTAAATACGCATTCAAACATATTTTTCTTCGATGTCAAGTTCATCTTGTGAACTTGAAATTGTTCAAGCTATAAATGGGAACGGTGGAAATATTATTTTTCAAGAACTTTGTCACTAATGGTCCTTTTACATTATACAAAGTTGATACAGTTATTAGTCGTCGCAATAAGCACGAGTTGCTAATTTAATTGCTAGGTAATGGCTATCCATTCATCCATCCATTTGATCATATTTTGATTATATTAGTACTATCCATGTGTATTGATTTAAAAAACAAAGTCGCTATCCGCCGTCTGTCTGCCCCTATGTATGGTTAGATCTTTAAAACTACGCAACGTATTTTGATGCGGTTTTTTTATTACATAGAGTGATTTTAAGGTTTACCTATATGCAATACATGCATAGTGCACCCGTGCGAAGCCAGAGCAGGTCGCTAGTGATTTAATTTTATTCATTATTATAAGATTCGTTGCAAATCTGCCTCGCACCCTGAGTACGAAGTCGCAAATATGGAAATTATATTGTCAAGTTTTGGAATAAAATATGATTCTAAAAAATGTAAACATTAATAAATGTACCTAATCAATAAAACACTATTACAAATGGCGTGTTTCATTGTAGATTTACTAGCAATAATGCATACATACATATGCAAATAGAGAATTTACTTGAGTATTTGAGTGCCAAATGCCAATCAAAGGTACTTGCAAATGCCAATACCTTGATTGGCATTTACCGTCCTGTACCTTAGTACATTACATCCTAGATCTAACTAAACATTTCAGAGTAACGCAACAAGCTCAAATAGCTGCCTATTCGCCTTTGTCGGAATACTAATTTTCTTTCATACATACATAACATCACGCTTTTTATCCT